AGAGTTTTATATTTCTAGTACTAATCATAAAAACAAATTCAAAACAGATGAGTTAAGTGGTAGCCACACAGCTAAAACCTGTCCACCTGATGTGTATGTGAAAGTTCTGTCTTCCTGAAAAATGAGAGCCAGTTACAAAATATGCAGAAGTGTTCACACCTCCTGGGCAAATGGTACAAACACAAACCACTATCATTTAATTAATCCTCTTCATAGTCTACTGTACATATGAGAGAGTAAAGATTCTTAGTGAGCTGTCAAATTTTAAAAAATGTATAATATAATACAATTCAGTCAAGAGCACTCATCAAATAACAGATGAAGACAGAAATACAATTTGACTTGCTTCTACTATGAACAGTGAATGGATGTGAGTGTGAAAAATACACAGCATGAAACTGAAACTGCAGGTTAAAATGATGCATATTGCCAAGAAGAGGAGTTGGAAAACAGCTCAGTTTTACATTTTTCAGCAAAAACATGCATTGAATATATTTTTTAGGATTTTGGACTTAATTTACATTTCTTAATATTCCCGTTTCTTTGCTGAGTGTTTTTGTGACACTAATCTAATCACTATCCTGCAAGACACAGGAAAATGAGGTTAATTTATGAAAACCACAGTGTTACTGAGAAGCACATAGCTTAGCTTTAATAAAAATGAATGAGAACATTTTCCCCATCCACAAATAATGCAAAAATACAAAAGTGAATTGTTTTACATGCCAGTGTTCTATGAGACCATGTTTCCACTAGTTGTTGAACAACAGTCCCTGCATTCTGTGCAGCCTCTGTCACATGGTGTCACTGTATACAACTACAGTATTGTGCATCTCTCTCCGTGAAGTTATGACACACCCATTTGCAAAGGGTGTAGGACATCAGCTGTGTGGAAGATGTGCCTTTGATTTTTTTTAATTAACAACACGACTTTAGGGCAGGTCCTAAAATACATCGTCAGATCTTGAAGATAAACATAACAACAACTGTTTTTAGAAGCTGGATTATTTTTCCCTGCACACGAAAGGATGAATATTTGGACCACTGTCATTGTCTTGTGCGCAGCATGGCCCGGTGCTTTGTCTGTGACGAGATACTCGATAGCCGAGGAGATGGAGAGGGGCTCTGTTGTGGCTAATCTCGCTGCGGATTTGGGGCTTGAGTCTGGAAGTCTGGCACAGCGAGAGGTAAAACTTGATATTTTCTCCACCAAAAAATACCTAGATTTTAACAAAAAGACGGGGGAGCTGTATATCGTGGAAAAGATGGACAGGGAATATCTTTGTCCGATGAAAACAACATCTTGTTTTCTGAAGCTCGATGTTATAATAGAAAGCCCCTTGCGTATCTTCAACATTGAACTTGGAATAACGGATATTAATGATAACGCTCCGCATTTTCGACGAGACAGAGTAGAGCTCGACGTTTCAGAATCAGCTACACCGGGAGAGAGATTCTCCCTGCCCAATGCCGTGGATCCAGATGTTGGCATAAATACAATAAAAACATACAAACTCAGTACCAGTAAACATTTCACCATCGAAATTCAGACGGGCAGTGATGGAACTCAGTATGTTGATTTAGTGTTGACCAGTTCTTTAGACAGGGAGGAGAATGCTGTTCACAATTTAATACTGACGGCTGTGGACGGCGGAGTCCCTGTGCGCTCCGGCACAGCCAATATAATTGTTAGAGTACAGGATACAAACGACAACCCTCCTCGGTTTGATAGTCAGATTTACTCAATTAACATGAGAGAAAATGCCCCGATTGGAACCTTAGTGATGAAGCTCAACCCTACAGATCTTGACGAGGGTCCGAATTCAGAGATAGTACACTCATTCACCCTTTATACCTCAGAAAAAGCACAAGATGTTTTTGCATTGAATCCTAGCACGGGGGAGATAACTGTAAAGGGAACTATTGACTATGAAGACATGAAATTTTACGAGCTGCACATTGAGGCCAGAGATAAAGGGACGCATCCTCTACTGGGGCAGTGTAAAGTAGTCGTCAACGTAACAGACATGAATGATAATTATCCAGAAATCACAATTCAGTCTGTTAAAAACACAGTAGATGAGAACATACCAGTAGGAAGTGTTATTGCACTGGTTGGCATAAGTGACAGAGACACTGGTGACAATGGCAATGTCAGCTTATCTATGCATCAACCCATGCCCTTTATTCTTAACAAATCATCAGAAAGTCCCATGTTTTACAATCTTATAGTGTCGGAGCCTTTGGATCGTGAATCAGTACCTGAATACGACATCACATTGATTGTGACAGACGCAGGAACTCCACCCTTATCTGATAATGAAACAATAACTTTGCATCTACTGGACGTTAACGACAATGTCCCACAG